TCACTAGAACATTTTCGCAGGTGTATTGTTGATCTCCTCAAGTCAAGCCTCCACTGCCAGCGTTTGAACTCGGTGCTCACCTGGAAGGTGACTTGCTGATGAGAAAAATCGCTTCTGCCAAACTGAACATGGGCCAAGCACCTACAGCAAGCAGCAGAGCATTTCAGAGAGAATCTGTATTTCTATCTCTATTTCTATAAAGCGCGTGTCTGAGCTGGATAATCTCAGCACTGGTTCCACACTGCGTGTTGCTGGTTCCACCCAACAGAAAAGACAAGCAGGGTGGAAAAAAAAGCACACAGAACAGGAACTCCAAGGTTTCGTTTGGTTCCAGTTCTGGTAGTGGGGAAAATCCTCTAACCTTTGAAAAGCCGGCAGAGAGGGGCCAGCACGTTGGAACCAGCACTTCTGGCTGTGTTTGAGAAACCAGCCCTGCTCCCCTATCCTCTACAGAAAAGGATTTGCTTTTTTCTTTCAGCAGTCACTAATTATTGTGAATCCAAGGTGCATGAACAGAACAGCGTTCCCTGAAGTGCATATACAAAAGTCCTCCGAAATGGACTCTGTTCTGGGGCGGTCTTTTGAAGTTTAATCTGTGGATGTGCATTTTGAGTAGTTTGATGTTCAAATATTATGTGGCTCTCCAGATCGAATATTTGAATAAATGAAGGCTGCGTTTTTTTTTCACCCCAAGCAATATATGAAACTCCACTTCTTTGTTGTGTAGATAATGACTCACTGCAAAGAGATCTTCGCTTGCTCATACTTTCAGGCAGGAAAATTAAAAATATCCATACATTTTATTTTATGAAAGGTTCTTAGGCTCCCCTTCATGAAAGTTTAGAGTATGAAATTAATGAAATCTGAAGGATTGAAAAGAATAAAGCGAATGGTTTTCTGCTTTTTCCTTTTTTAAATCTACAATCCTTTGGGTACTTATGCAGATAATTAATTGGTGATCTCCTGGTCAAACACTCCAGTGATTGAGTGTTCAGTCTAATTCCCTGTTGAAGCATTTAGGGACACATCGCTTCATATTGTGTGAAAATGTGTAGGTCTCATATCCAGGGTTATGAGTGAGAGTAACTTGTGTTTCCCCTTTCTCTGCCCTGGTAATTTACAAGCTTCCTCAGAACCACTGTTATGTAAGACATATGTAGAGGGGGGGTGGGTAGGGGGGGGCTTGAGATTCCATGCAAGCATTTGCCATAGTAGTTGAAGGAAAGATAAGGCTTGAGTGTTTGGGGCTGTTAAGTCTTTGGGTAGCTTGGGGCCTTCGTTGCTGTTGTCATCCAGTGGGGCTACCACCCAGGGGCATGGGGGTGAAGTTTGTTCCGGTTAACCCCTGACCAATTAGAGAGAAGGCCCCCCCTGGCAAGGCTGATAAGGGGGGCAGGGGAGGGGGCTGCGCTTCGTACAGCTGAGGGGAGGTGCACTTCTGCGTGGCTGTTATTTAAGATGCCTTTCTTATAATCAGGCTGAGTCGCGCCCGCCCCCAAACGGAATGCGAAACAGTGCATGTGTTGCTCTCCCTGCGTGCTGAACCCAATGCCATATTAAGACATAAAGAGAGTGTCGATTGCTTTCTGATCAGCGTTTCCAGTGGCCTCGCTTTCACTCGCTGTGCAGTTGTAGGCGAGAGAACCCCCCCCCCCCCTTCCTGTTTCAGTGCTTGTCACCTCAGCGTGAGCACCATGCTGCCTCGCTCTGATGTTTTTTTTTTTTTTTTTTTCTTTTCTTTTCTTTTCTTAAGCAGCCCGGCCCATCAGGGCGATCACTGGCGACCTCTAACCCCGATGTGCGCTGCCGTATCCTGTTTTCGCTACTTGGCTCGTGGGAGGGGGGAAAGGTGTCAGATGGGGGCAGGACGCTCTGAGTTCTAGGGGGCCCTCCCCTGTACCTCCGCTGCCTGCTCTGGGGGCCTCACGCCCCCCCCGGGTCCAGCTGGCTGTGTGGTGTCCGCCCAGGCCACCTAGCAGGGACTCGTGCCTTAGTGGTCATTACTCACACACCGCCAGCTGCTTAATGCCTGACGGAGTGAGAGGCCGTTTCAGAATGGTCAGAAACGCTGTTGTGAAGAGGCTGGCTGCAGACGCATGCAGATTGTACAGCCAGTCCCTGACCAAGCCCCAGAGGCCGCACGTTCAAACTCCAGGCAGAGTGCTGCTGTTGTACCCTTCCACATGCCTAACCTGAACTGCGTCAATATAAACCTTATCAATGGTGTTCTTTAGGAATGGAAACTGTATGAGTCAATCAAATAAAGATGTCAGCCCAGCAAATAAATTATATCAAACAAAAGCAATAGGCTCAGAGCCAGAATGGCTGCTGATTCATTAAGATCCCATCCTCCCAGCATGTCTGATTACTGGTTTACATTGTTCCTTTCTGCATGAAAGCTGAAGACCTTGGGTGTAACTGTATGAACAACATATCTTGGTAAAGCCTTTTTAAAGTGAAATGTGTTTACTGTAAAGGGCGTCTGGGGTTGTGCTCGGAAAATAGCCATCATAGCTTCTCCTTACATTATTATTTAACATATTCAATGCCGTATGTTAAGCGGCAGTGTTTAAGTGGTTGTCTGGAAAGAGTCAATAGTTAAGAACGAACCCCATGGAATGTGAATGGCAGTTTCCAGGTGGATTTATAAAACATTAACAGCTTTCAACTCAAGTGCAGTTTTTATAAATACTATAAACAGCCCGTGCTCCAGGTCGTCTTTTCCCATAGCGCAAGAGGAGGGGCCCTTTTAAAGCTGCTGCCAGCAGAGCGATTTGGTGAATGACAGTAATCCTTGGCTTTCTGTAGATGGGCACGGGGGCTGCGTTCGTCGCGACACCTGTGTAATTACGGCCTGAGCCTGAGTTTCTTGCGCTTTTCAGCCTCCGTTGAGGGAGTGTTTTGGTTGCGGCGTTTGAGGTTTGTGGGTGGTTTTATAGCCGTGTGGAGAATGGCCTGGGCTGATCCCTGCGGAGGCCTTTACTGTACGGCGGAGTGTTCTCCCCGCTGGATACCCTTTCCAACGGGCCTCCTCAAGGCCCTGCCTGTAGGAATATCAGACCGCACCGCTCTCAGCACTCACAAAACACTACGTTACATTACTGTCATTTAGCAGACGCTTTAATTCAGAGGGACATACATAGGTACAGTTTTTTACATGCTATCCATTTATACGGCTGGATATTGACTGAGGCAGTTGACTCTGGGTTGAGTACCTTGCCCAAGAGTATAGCAGAAGTGCTGCAGTGGTGAATCGAAACTGCAACCTTCTGGTTATGAGCCCTGCTTCTTACCACTATCCTAAACTGTCACACTACCTCTGCCAAAACCCTCTGACTTACTAGCCCTGGTTTTCTCTCCCCCTTCCCAACAGCGGACTTCCCTGTCGAGCGAAGCGGTCCGGGCTGAACTTTAGGACGAGTGGCGGCGTGTGCGCGCGCGGGGGCTAAAAGTCTGGGGCGATGTTTGGAGGGTAAAGGACGCGAAAATGTGGGCCACTACACAGAGTCGAGCTGCTTCCTGTCTGCTCGAGGGCACAGATGTAAGAAGGGCTTCCGTTTCCTGCTCGCGGTCGGGGGAACCTCTCCTGCCTCTGCGGCGGTGTGTTTTGAGCGCGTGCGCTACGCCGCCCCCGCCCTCTCTGGCGGGAGATGGAATGGGCTCTTTGCATGATGTGGGAGGGTGTCTGCCGCATTCAAATACGCACAGGCACAGCTAATCATTTACATTGGGCTTGCCCTTTCAGAGCCGAGCGGATCTGTTGACACACGCGGTAGCTTTAACAGGGGGCTTTTCTGCTGTTTGCCTTAGGATGTAAAGAGCACGATACTGGGGCTTCGTGCAGTTTTAGGCGCAGTTCCAGTTCTGACCCTGGCGTCCCATGTACTCTGAACGCTTCATTTCGCGCACTGGGGAGAAGGAGAACGCCACAGTGACGTAGCAGAGACTTAGACCTGTGACCCCACATCTTCAATTGTGTGTGGAAGAATCCTGCCCCCTGCTTCGGAGATGGCCCTTTAGACCTCCCCCTCTGGTCCGCATACCCAACCCCCCTTTTACCACCACCCCCGGGTCGTTTAAGACAAACACTGTTCACTTGCAGAGCCTCACTCTCCCAGCCTTTCTTTTCTCAAACGCACCTCTCCCTCATCATTGCCGTCCCAGGTGAAAAGCCTCCATTGTTCGGCAAGAAAGGCATGTTGGCCCTCTAGGGCTTCTGAAGGCAGCTGATAATATATGATTTTAAGAGTTTCTTTTTGTTGGCATAACATGAAAGCTTCTGTTGGGCTGGGTTTACTTTTCCATTGCATGTAGTACAGTACAGCTAAGCGTGTTTTTTGGAAGGTACTTTTTTTTTTTTTTTTAAAACTCTTCACTAATGCCGTTCTGCTCGATCCACGCTCAGCCCCCATTTTGCACGCGGTGAATTTGGCGTTCCTGTTGTCACGCTCGCCGACACTCAGGGCTCACCTCGCCGGCCCAGAATTCCTCAGCTCCTCATCTCTTGAGCTGGAGGAACCCCCCTCTGGGAAACGGGAGGCTAAATTGTCCTGACCTACTTTTTTGGACAGCAGTGACCTGATGAATGGGCCCGATGACAGCGGGGTTCATAAACACCAGCGCATTTTTAGGCTACGCCCCAGCGAGGGTGCCCGGAGAGCACCTCGGGGCCATGTCAGAGGAGGCCTGGAATTGGTTTGTGCTCTCGCTGTCCTGCGCCGTTGCGGGGTGGCCGAAAAACAGCATTGTTTTCAGAAAAAAGTTCCCCCCACCTCCTGACCCACTTACAGGATTTGTGTCTGTAGTGACGGAGGCCTGTGAGAGTTGGCTTTGCAGGGCCAGGTCAAGGTGGAGATGCCATTTGCTCTGCCATTTTACATGACGCTCTTATCCAGAGTGACTTACATAGGTTCCAATTTTTACATGTTATCCTTTTATACAGCTGGATATTTACTGAGGCGATTCTGGGCTAAGCACCTTGCCCAAGGGTACAGCAGCAGTGCCCCTGCAAGGATTCGAACCAGCAACCTTTCGGTTGTGAGCCCTGCTCCTTACCGCTATGCTACACTGCCGCCCCTTTTGTGCATTAGCTGCAGCAGTAGGCCAGTGTGATTAACCTGTGGATTTTTACTTGCACCAGGATATCTGCTGCTAGGCATTGGTGCAACGCAAAAGGAGTGAGGAAGTGGTCACCTTTGTTCCACCAGAAATCCTGATGACTACACCCATGTCTTTCTATAGGCAGCAATGAGCAATATTCTTGCTGTCTTTGGGTTTCTGTTCTAAAAACTGAGCCATTGCTGACATGCATATTTGAAGCGAAAGGGAAACAATGTGTTGTAAACAAATCTTTGACTCCCCTCATAACTCCTCCCTTCAAATCTCTAACTCTCCCTTTAGGAAATAACCGTGACTCCTTCTTTATCGCAGAGCGCCTGTACAGTTCTCTTGTTTTTCTCCTGCCTTTAATTGCACAATGTCTGGTATTTTCCTAGAACTGTGAAACCCTTGACTGAGAGAACGTATAGCCCTATACAGTATCTGGTCGTGAGGTAATGGTCCTCTGTGACAGGCAGAGGTCGTGCCAGAAATCTCGAGGAAAAAGCCAATCTGCTTTGAGTTAAGATATTTAAACAGGCCATAAATCAACTCATAACTTTCCCCTCTACGAGCATAACTGCCCCCCCACGCCCTCCCCATCCCCCCCCCGAGTGCCGCATCGCTTCGTATGTGAATGGAGGCCTTTTCCTGTTACGCGCACACACATGTTCCCCTGCACAGAACACTCTGTACCGGCTCCAGAGGCCCTCTGTTGGGGGGCGTTGGTGTCGTATAAGGTAATGGTAACCATCTGAGGAACTGTCTTTTTAACTGTGAGAGTGCCCACACGCTGCAGCTCGGACTCGGAGTGTTGCTTTCAGGAGGGGAAAAAAAAAAAAAAAAAAAAAAGTTCCCCTTCTCGGCGTTCCACCGCAAATCAGAGTTTTAACTGAAACGTGCGCTCACGTTTCACTGTGGTTCGTCGCCGTCCTCTGGCTCGCGAACGGCAAACCGAAGCAAGGAGAGTGGAAGCCTGTGAGCCAAATGAGATGAAAATGGGATTGAACACTCTGTTCTCACTCCCGTGAAAACATTTTTATGCTCCTTCACAGGGAGTTAGGGGGTTTTTTTTTTAAAGCTCAGAGACTCACTCTGCATATGCAGTTGAATATCATTTGGAGCTCCATTTTTTTTTAGCTGAAAACCCTTCATGTCCTCTGTAAACATTGCAGAGAACACATACACAGTCCGAGCGGACAGGTTTAGGGCACCTGGTGTTGTGTGCGCTAAAACGTGCCTACCAAGAGCTCCTCCCTTATAGTATAGAGCAGTTCAGGCAGTCTGTTTTAGTAACCAGGCATTCTGTTTATTGGAGATTGTGCAACATCTGCTCCTCTTTCCCTCTCTCTCTCTCTCTTTCTTTCTTTCTCTCACTCGCCCCCTCTCTTTCGTTCTCTCTCTCCCCTTCTTTTTCTCTCACTCTCAGCCCGCCTCTCTTGTCCTCTCACCCTTCACTCGCTCTTTTCTCCCTCTCTCTCTCTCACACACACACACACACACACACACACACACACACACACACACACACGCTTTCCTATCTGTCTTTCATTCTCTGTCACCCTCTCTTCTCTGTCTCTCTCTTGCTCTCTTTTTCCCACTCCTCTATCTCTCTCTCTCTCTCTCTCCCTCCCCTCACTCTAGTTTGCTCTCTCTGCAGTTCTCCTCTGACTCATGTCTTCCCTTCTGATTCTGGCCTGTGCAGGAACCCCTCCGCTGCCTTCTACCGGGCCTTCCAGCCTGGCAGGCTACGGGACGCGAAGGCCCACTGCGATAGGTAACGGCTCCTGTGTGCTGGGCAGCGGCGGGCTGTGGGGAATGTGCATGGAGGATGGGCATGGCTTTCGGGAGGCCGCCTCTCTCTCAGCGCCTAGCGTCCTGGGCCCCGGTGGCACCTTTTAACACAGCTGCACACGAGTCACACGCCCCCGTGACAGGGCTCTCGTCTCCTCTCCTCTCCCCCCCTCCTCTCCCCTCCCTCCCCTCCCCCTCCTCTCCTCTTCCCTCCTCTCCCCTCCTCTCCTCTCCTTGCCTCGGCTCGCAGAATAACACCGGGGTCAAGCCCCGCAAATAGAGGATCACTTTGAGAAATTAAGCGCCGTGATCGAATGAATCTGGACCGCGCTTACGTAATGTTCTGGAAGCTGAATATTAGCACCCCTACCAAGAAACGGAGAGCGGGTGACTGGCCGTCACATGGCTGATTACTGTATTTAGGCCGGGTGCCGCGTTGCAGATTTTACCCCCCCCCCAGATATCGGACGGTTCTGAAGTTCACACTTCATTCTCAAAAACAAAATTGTTCGAAAAGCAGAACATTCTTAGCGCCGCTTCTGAAAAATGAAAAGGAACCAAATGTTGCCATCTCTAAATGAAGAACAAAAAGGCAGCGAACAGGAAGTGAAACTGCGGGCCCAAAATGCACACACAAACTGCAGAATAATGTAACTGCACACACAGGCAGGATATGCATTTTATACAGCCAAAGGTCGCCGCAGCATCTCTTGGGGGCACTTATGCACTGATGAATGGTGCTTTATCCATCCTGACCTGGATACTGCAACATTCAGGGGGAATCTTGTGGATTGTTCTATAACACTTTTGCATGGTTTGGGTTGGCTTTTAGTAAGCGCTCAAATAAAGCTTTGCAGATTGATGGTAGTTATTAACAAAAGCAACACGCTTGGAATCTGACTGCATTTTGAAAGAAGTGAATGGTAATGGGTAAAACTCTTCGTGTGTGCTTTGGGTGCAGTACCGGCAGTGACCATTGATGGCAGTGTAAGGTTAAGTTTCCAGATCCACTTCCAGACCGGGTGCCTGGGCAAAGCCTCCAAAGAGCTGGGCTTTTGTGCACTGTATACCTTCAATCCCTGCATATTGTCTTTGAGGTTGCATCAGATTCGAGTTGTGCAACAGTTGATACCGGGCCTGGTGCAACGTGCCAGGCAGTACCCTCCCCACGCTACTGGTGAATCGGCTGTGGTTTCCTGTAGCCTTCCACGGTACCTTGTGGCACGTCCCTGCCGCGACACCAGGGGCCCTCTACGTCTGTGACGAATCGCCTATCTACACCGCCACTTCTCGTTTTATCAAGTGACGTCCTGTTTGTAATTTCTCTTTCTCTTTTTTTTTTCTTTCTTCAAGCATTGGTTTTTCAAGATCATTTGTGTGCCATTCAGTGAGCGAGCACGTTCGAAAGACGCGGAGGCTGGTTGTTATGACTTGGGCGGTGAGAACACCCAGCAGGCTTGTTATTAGAAACAGCCTCCCTGCAACGGTGTGCACTAATTAAAAAGACTGGAGGTGCCTCATCTGGTAGCTGTCTCCCAAGAGGAGGGGGAGAGGGAGGGGAAGGGGGGTGTTCAGGACAGCCTGTAGCTTTAAGTCATCTGCTTAACTTGCTGTTCTGTTCTCGCTAAAGGAACATCACATTGTCACTAATGGCTCTGGATGCACTGTTTCTATGGCGGTGACTCGGGAGGGCGGGGTTGTCTGGGCTAAGGGGCTCTAAACAGCTCATCTGTTCACCTTTGCCTGTGGGTCATTGCTTTGGGCTATAATGTGATCATCATCTAACTCAGATTAGCCGTGAATGCACCATTATGTTTGATTCATAATTCACTGGTCCTTAATCTTGTAGCAGCTTATCCGTGTTGTTCACAGACTTGAGGAATTTTTCTGATTTGGCATTGTCCTTTGCAGTAACAAGCAAACTTTGTTTATCAGGCTTTACTAACCTCTGAAGTGCTACCGATTACCACCGAAACGTGCCAGATTGATACGAAAACAACTTCCAGACGTGAACAGGCCTCTCAGTTTGTGTTGCATGACAAGTCTGAGATGAAAATCCTGAATTGGCTCGACCCCTCAGTGAGGTTCCAAATCTCCAGCATTCTTTTGGGCAGCATTGGCCCAGGGCAAGGTATGACAGATACTTCACATCTTGATGCATTTTTTTTGGTTTGCCTTAGGTGTCCTGGGTGTTTTGAACATTGCACCATCAAGACTAAAGAATATTCTTGTGTGTTTTCTTAAACTCTTGCACTCATTATCTTTGATCCCTTTTTTTGTTCCCCTTACCTTTTTAGCAATAGCACAACATAACCAAACTCTTTCTCCAAAGCACAGATAATACAACCTTCAGCCATTGCACAATTTGACAATACAGGTTTGAGAGCACCGCTCCGCGAGTTAACAGTAAGTGTTGCGCAAGACCAGCGCTGAGAGCTCATGCTTATGACGGCTTCTGTTTGATCCCCGGCCCAGTTCATATCCCTGTGGGCTCTGACAGGCTGCAAACCCAGTATGGAAACTGCTCATGTTTACTGCGCTGGTAAAAAGTAGCTTTACCGGATACATTCCTTTGAAGTCAGTGGTTCAACACCAGGTGACTTGTTTGAAGTGCTTGCCACCAGAGATGGGCAGGGTTCTGGTCACAGTAATATAAGACGGATAAAATGACTAAACTCGGACTGTAGCAGCGATCAGCTGTTGTTCCAGGTGTGGGTCACCTGCTGCCTGAAAGGAGCGTTTAAACCCCCGAGAACCGTGGTTCCGCCCGTTACCGTCAGTGCCGTTTACAGAAAGTGTGCGCAAAAAAAACCCAGCTTCGCTCTAGGACACATCTGGTATGTCATCACATAGCATCAGAGAGAGGGTTGATTTGCTTAAAACGTTGCCAAACCCAAGTTCACTGGCAACTGTTTATTTGGTAGCATTGATTGATACAATATGTTTCTGCAGCAGAACTGTGCTGAGCAAAATCTTACAGGGCAGGTTTGCGGGCTGGTCCATGAGGTTACTGACAGATTAGACCTACTACCCCGAACCCCTATACTGTAGAAAACACCCAGCAGCTCAATGTAAATGACACTGGGCTGGACAGCCAGAAGGGAGAGAGTCACATGGTGACAGCAGGATAGGTGTGGACGACACACTGTAATGGAATGCAGCTTTTTTTTTTTTACCCTGC